TTTACACAATCACATTCCTAATTTAATAAGACTGACAATTTCTTCAATGAATAATTTTCACTTCCATACGTAAGATTTACTGCCTATTGTCAGAAGACAAAATAACAAAACATCGCATGGTTCCTTCCAGAACCCTCTCTAGGTTTCAAGATCTTTCCTCTGTTTGAGGGTGCTTCTCACATTCTTATGTGAGCGATCCCGATCGAGATCGTGCTTCCCTTTGTAGTCGCCGGTCTTAGCTACGGTTGGGATCGGCGGGTAGCTTTTTGTTTTTGTTTTTTCTTTCTTTTCCCCTTCCATTTGCTGCTGGTTCTTCCAATTTTCTTCTATGGCTTTCCTAATTCTTCAACCCCCATGGGTACCCCTTTTCATGGCCCTTCCTTGCTTCGTTTTTCAGCCATGTTTTTGTAAACACGAGAAATTCCTGAAACAAGCGACAAGAATACGTGTACAAAATATATATTTTTTATTAAAGATTTTGGGGTTACAATCTCTTTGTAATTTGGTCCTCTGATTCTATCTTCGTAGGGTGTAGGTTTGTGGATGAGTTGCTGATCCAAAGGGCCGTCGGGGGCTTGATCTGAGGATGAACAGTTGATGAATGAATCTTCAAGGGGCGTTGGGCTTGATCTTGAAGAATGGTGGGAGTTTTTCAAGGGCCGTTAGGGCTTGATCTTGAAGGTGAACGGATGAGCGGATCTTCAAGGGCTTTTGGGCTTAATCTTGAAGAACGATTGGATGTGTGGATTTGTTGAGGTTGTTGATCCAAAGGGCCGTCGGGGCTTGATCTAAGGATGAACGGATGATGAATGAATCTTCAAGGGCCGTTGGGGCTTGATCTTGAGTTGGTGGAAGTTCTTCAAGGGCCGTTGGGGCTTGATCTTGAAGGTTGATGGATGATGAACGATGAACACTTTCTTCAAGGGCCGTCGGGGCTTGATCTTGAGTTGGTGGAAGTTCTTCAAGGGCCGTTGGGGCTTGATCTTGAAGGTTGATGGATGATGAACGATGAACTCTTTCTTCAAGGGTCGTCGGGGCTTGATCTTGAGTTGGTGGAAGTTCTTCAAGGGCCGTTGGGGCTTGATCTTGAAGGTTGATGGATGATGAACGATGAACACTTTCCTCAAGGGCCGTCGGGGCTTGATCTTGAGTTGGTGGAAGTTCTTCAAGGGCCGTTGGGGCTTGATCTTGAAGGTTGATGGATGATGAACGATGAACACTTTCCTCAAGGGCCGTCGGGGCTTGATCTTGAATTGGTGGAAGTTCTTCAAGGGCCGTCGGGGCTTGATCTTGAAGGAGGATTTGACGAAGAACGAAGAGTGCTTTCTTGATCCTTCGGGATTTGCTTGAGAGCTTTAGAGTTTCAAAGCTTCTTCCTTTCTTCCTTTCTTTCTTTCTTCCTTTCTTTCTTTTCTTCCTTATGAATGCCTTTGGCCTCCTATTTATAGAATTCCAAAACTTGATTTTTGGATTTAAATAATCAGATGAAATAAATCATTTCTGCCAGGTATTGACACGTGTCATATTTGATGACTTTTCCAATTTATTTCGATTTTTCGTTGAGGCACACGCTACATGTAAAATTTATGTGATACGTGAGCGCTGAAATTTTAATTATTGGTCAACATTTATTTCACCGAAATTTTGATGTCTACAAATGCCCCCACTTCAAGGCGCGTCGTAAACATGTGCTTGTCACGTGTAGAAGATGCGTTTTGAAGTCCCTTAATGTAGATGTCAACCCAAGGGCCGTCGAGGCTTGATCTTGAGTTCGACTGGAAGATTTTCTGGTTTCCTCCAATCGTTGATTTTCCGCAGGCTTACTCTTGAACTGAGCCGGAGGATTCTTTTGGTCTCCTCCGAAGGTCTGAACTTACTCCTTTGATCTGGAGTTGAATTTGATTCAAGGGTGGTGAACACTTGATTTTGAATCGGACTTGTGATTTCTTCAAGGGCCATCGAGGCTTGATCTTGAACTGGGCTGGAGGATTCTTTTGGTCTCCCCCTATCGTTGATTTTCCTTTGTGCTACTCTTGAACTGGGCAGCAGGATTCTTTTGGTCTTCCCCGAAGGTCTGAGCTTACTCCTTTTTTTCTGTTTCTTTGTTCAATCTCTCCAATTCGTATTGAAGAGGGTTAGAGGATAGCTCAGCATATGCAGTCGTAGCTTGTCTCCACATGCTTCAATGCATCATTTTCACTTGCCTTACTTGCTCCCCTCTGCAGAAGTGGTATTTCCTTATGCAGGTTTGGCATCTTCTCGTGTAGTATTTGTCCTCTGATGCAGGAGTTGAATGCAACCTTTGCATTTAAATGGTGCTTCAAAACATTACTTCTCAGCGACGATGAGTACTCGAGAGCAATGCAAGGTAAGCAACCAGGCAAAGGTTCCAGGCAATCAGTTCCAGGTCGGAAGTTTGATTTCAGGTTCCGACTGATAACTCTATTTCCCCTTTTCCTGCATGTAAGAGCAAGGACAAAGAAAAGGACAGGGAAAAAGCATGATATGAGATACCTTTGCTTTCGCCCTTGATGATATGAGATACTTTTGCTTTTGAAGAAGCGGTGAATGAATCAGCACATGCTTCCATCTACCGTTTCCTTCTGGGTCATCTGTACTCCAGGCATCTGGTATCATCTTTGGGGAAGAGGAAAAAATTGAGTATTTTGAGATGTTTTGCTGGGAGTGTACTCTCGGAGGTGAGGAAGAGTTGGGCATTTTTTTTTCGCAGGTCTGCCTTGCCATAAAAGATGAAGGTCGACATATATAGGGATTTCCCAATAGCAAGTGGTGGTACTGTTCTTTTACCCTTGTCGACAAACGTTTTGATCCCGCAAATTCGGCTTTTTGAAATAGTGACGACTCTTCGATCTTTGAATACGCCTCTTTGATTTCTGAACGACGCCTCTTCGATTTCTGAACGAGCGTCTCTTTTGACAAAGTGGCACGCGTTTTCTGAAAAGCAGAGAAAGCGTCGCCGAACTTTGCGCTTGTCAACTAAAGATGTGTAGCTGCGATGATGACCTCCACGTGATCTTTTGACAAAGTGGCACCCGTGCTCTGAAAAGCCGCGAAAGCGTCGCCAGCCTCCACGTGTTTTCAACTTTGTCGGAGATCTTTTGACAAAGTTGAACGCGTTTTCTGGAAAGCCGAGAAAGCGTCGCCTAACTTACGCCGGAAAATCCAGCTTTTGAGATTTGCACAGCAATGTCTCTTCACTTTTGAATAAGCGGCCCTTCGATTTCTGAACCAACGCCTCTTTGATTTCTGAGCAAGCGCCTCTTCCTTTTTATAGAGGTATTGATCACCTGTAACATGCATACTTTGAAGGTTGCTTATTCCTGAAAATCATCTCCGGCCTTTTGAGTTTTAACTCCATCCACCCATCTCTTTTAACACCTTTGAAAAATGGCTAACCCATCGAACCTTAGCTTAGAATTGAGTCTCAGCAGTGATCCGGTTGCGCCGCTTCAAGGTAATGTATGGTGTCCTTCTTTCTTATCTTCTAACGGTCCTCTTACAGGTGAAGACTCCGTGATGCAGGACGCCACAACAGCTACAATAGTAGCTAGGAACCTCCTCACTCCAAAAGATAGTAGGCTGCTGTCAGGACGGTCCGATGAGTTGGCCGTTCAAGAGTCCCTCGCTCTTAGTGTTCAGTGTGCGGGCTCTGTGTCCAACATGGGCCAACGCCTGCTTGCTCGGTCCCGTCAGGTGGAATCATTGATGGCAGAGGTGGAAGATCTTAAGCAGGAGATTAAACAGCTTAAGTACGAGAATAGAAGTTTGCATGTGCTTGCAAATAACTATTCGTCGGGCATGAAGAGGAAGCTTGATGAGCTTGATGATCGTCAACGGTTTGCAGCTTTCTTCCAGAGGCACCTCTTTCCTGGGTCATCCAGCGTTCCGCCAAGTATTGAGGCCTCGAATGCTCTATCTCCGATGCCTCTTGCTCCGATGCCTTCTGCTCCGATGCCTCCTGCTCTGAGAGTGTTGCCACGTAGTGGGGCTTCACGTACACATCCTTTGTGAAAGCTTCAACTTGTTTTTTTTTTTCTTTTTTTCTTTTTTTTTTTTTTTTTTTGTACACATTTGTAATTTCTCGAGAATCAATGAACATGCTTTGTTTTATTTAGTGTATTATGCTAAATACAGATAAAACATATACATCACCGTCCATCACCATTTTTTTTTCTTTTCTTTGCTTTCGGTGGCGCTGATCCACCATTCATTTATATATATATATATATATATATATATATATATATATATATATATATTTCAGATGGTGCCAGAAGCACCACCATCATTTTTTTTCTTTCTTTTTTATTATATATATATTTTTTTTTTATTTTTTTTTTTCACATGGTTCCAGAAGCACAATCATTGTTTTTATTATACATATATATATATATATATTTTTTTTATTATTCTTTTGAAATATGCTTCCCGGCATAATCATTGCTACTTTTTTTTTTTTTCTTTATAAGGCCATCTGCAAGGCTGAGTTCGTGGGTGAAAACCCAGGCGAGTCCGAGAGAAGACGGAGGAGGTCTTTAGGTGTGAGTTGACAAACCTTGATTTTGTCAATGACATTCAAAGGCAGCAGCAAAGGCAAGCAGACGGATGAGATCTTTGGGTGTGAGTTGACAAACTTTGATTTTGTTGATCACATTCAAAGGCAGCAGCCATGGCGGAGGTGCAGAAGCAACCAGAGCTTGAGACAGAGTGTAAGGCGTCGAGTTTGAAGACCGGCTAGTCGTTTGACAGCGGTCAATGAAGCTCTTCGTTGATTTTGATCATGGTGGCCAGAGTGACGAGCTTGAGATTTGTTGGCAGCGTGAGGAGACAGAGGAAGAAGCTCCACCATCACCATTGAGCACAGCCTCGCAGACCACCGATTTTCCACGACCTTCGATCCAGTTCACCACAGCGGGCTTCCTGTCAGAGGGAAAGGAGAAGCTGGAGGAATTGCAGCACAAATATGAGTGTACAAATTCCGGCGGCAGTGCAAATACTTCTGAAGTTCCTGCTTTTTCACTTTTCAACCAGTACTTGCGTAATCTGCCCACGGCTCCTTCACAAAAGAGAAAGAAGGAACCATCCTTGCTTGGGGACAGACCATTTGGAAATCGGATATTCCTCTGAAGAACAGTTGTTTCCTTTGTGGTTGGGTTGTATTTTAGAACCCTCCCAGTGTCCTCCCTGGAGAAAACCAATTGCATAAAGTTCCTCCTCTGGTACATTGGCATAGCTGCACTCCAAATCACAACCGTCTTCGTCGTCATCGTCCTCACCGTCACGGTCACGTGCCTCGTCGTCGTCTTGGAACGGAGGGTCCAATACAGAAACAGGACTGCATTGTTCCTTCTCTTCCTCCTCCTCCACTTCTGCTTGGGACTTCTTCAACCCCTCCTCTTGTTTGTGGAGACTAGGGGACGTCACCGGCGACGTGAACTCCGGCGTCCGGCTGCCGGACGGAGGGGGGGTTGGTTGGAGGACGAAACGGAAAGGGTTTTCGCAAAAAGCAATAAGCTTTTCACAATTACAAGCATAATCTGTATCGGCTGTGTCCTCCTCAGACTGGCTGCAGCTGCTTGAAGTGGCTTCATTGGTTTCGGACCACACCGCACTGCTGGGCCTCCTAATGCTTATCAGAGAAGCACTTTTGTCCTCAACTTCCAAACAAGACTCAACCTTTTCCTCCACCTGATCGGAAGAAATCTTTCTCCTCCCGACTGTCGAATCCCACCGCAGAATGTCATTCACCGAGACCTGAACCCCACCCTCGCCGTGGACTTCCCGCTTTCGGGTCCGATTCCGATTCGTTAACCTCTTCAAAAACGACCCGAATAGCCCGAACCCGTGATTTTTGTTCTGGGTTTTTGGTTTAGAATTCGCCGACTGCTTCTGAATCCTCATCGCGGCTTTCACGAGCAGGGCGGCGGTTCTGTTCGGAATTTGGAGGAAGATGGCGTTTACCAAGACGCCTGAGGAAAAGGGTGGTGGGATTGGATTGATGAGAGAGAGAAGACAGCAAAGCAGAAAGAGAGAAGAAGATGGTGACTTGGGCCGAGGAGCTGCAAATGGTGACTTGGAAAGCTTTTAATGACCAGGCCGATTCGGCCGCTGGGCTTAGACTTTAAGGACTTGCTGAATTTTTTTTTTTTTTTTTTTTTTTACAGGATAGAGAATATATATTTTACATAATAACATATGTATAATTATATATATATATATATATATATATATTTTTTTTCTTTTCTTTTGTAATAAAATTGACTTTCTTTAATGAAACATTTATTTATTTATTTTGATGTGACTGTACTTGAAGTTTCAAGTTGCCTACGTACTCTTCCAGAGAAGAGATCAAGTCGTAACGTAGTTCAAATGAATGATGATTTTGATGATGATTTTGATGATGATTTTGCCGTACACAGTTTATGCTCTTGCGGGCCAGGAGCATCTTGGTGCCGTTTGCATTTTCAGCTCATGCAGGCAAGGAGCGTTTTGTTGTCGCCTTTTATGCTCGTGCGGACAAGGAGCTTTGGTCGTCGCCTTTTAGGCTCGTGCGAACGAGGAGCTTTTCTTTGAATTTGTCAAACAATCTTAGAGGGGCATTCCTTGCAATCTTCATAGCAAGGAGTCTTGACTGAGTGATTGAAGAAGTCTTTGGGGAAGAAATCGCGCATTGTGATGGCAACGGACGATCTTTGTGTCATAACTTCACCATCCTCAACACTTTCATGTAGCTTTGAAGGTTGACGGTAGCGGCTTTGCCCCCTTTCCGATTGGTGAACTTGTGGAGTAGACCTATGTTTCTTGTGCATTTTCTTTGGAGTGACATAAGTCCACCCTTCAACTTCACTTGATTTAACTAACATGGTTTTGGAACATGCCCCCAGCGGTTGAGGTGAAGATTTTGAGTTCAAAGAGCCAGAAGTGACGGTGGTATAGTTTGACTTCACCACATCATTAAGATCTAGCTCGATGAGCCCTTTCTGATCCAACTTCATGATGAGATCTTTTAGCACAAAGCACTTTTCCGTCGGATGACTAATGAAGCGGTGGAATTTACAGTACCTTGGACTGTCAGTACGGTTCATATCTTCTGGCCGTTTGCACTCAGGTAGGTCGATCACCTTTTTGTCAAGCAAGTCCTTCAACATGGCAACCACGTCAGAGTCGGGGAATGGATAAGTCTTCTCTTCAAGCTCCTTCAAAGTGCGTCTACGTATCTCTTGATCACGAAAAGCTTCGGTTTGAATTGCCTTGCTTCGTGTAGGGATTTTGACTGGAGTTGTGTTGACCGTCATTGCTTCCTTGGTGGGTTTCCACGTAGCCTTATCCACCTTTGGCCCCAAAACTTTGTCATTCTTGTAGTCGGCGATCTGTTCTTTCTTCCCATGACGGTTGATGCTTAACTCCATGTCATGGGCGCGGGTGGCTAACTCCTCAAATGTTCGTGGTTTGATGCCTTGAAGGATGTAGTGTAGTCCCCACTGCATGCCTTGAACGCACATCTCAATGGCAAAGGTTTCAGAAAGCCGATCTTTGCAATCCAGACTTAAAGAACGCCATCTATTTATGTAGTTGACGACAGGTTCATCTTTCCACTGTTTCATGCTGGTCAGCTCTAGCATGCTTACAGTACGACGAGTGCTGTAGAAACGGTTGAGGAATTCCTTTTCTAGCTGGTCCCAACTGTTGATAGACTCAGGTTCGAGGTCAGTGTACCAGTCAAAAGCGTTACTTTTCAGCGAACGCACGAACTGTTTGACGAGGTAGTCTCCCTCTGTCCCAGCATTGTTGCAAGTCTCAATGAAATGGGCGACATGTTGCTTCGGGTTGCCTTTTCCATCGAACTGCATGAATTTTGGGGGCTGATAACCCCTTGGCATCTTCAAAGCATCAATCTTCTTGGAGTAAGGCTTTGAGTACAGTACGGAGTCATGCGAGCTTCCTTCGTACTGTGTCTTGATAGTGCTTGCAATCATCTCCTGTAGTTGCTGGATAGAGAGAGATCCCATGGATGTCGTGGCTTGGTCTAGCTTCGGCTTCTCTTCGACTTTCTCCACTGGTGGCTCCTCCTCTTCGTCGCCTTCTTTCTTTAATAGGCCAACCATTGGGTCGACTTTCACGTCGAGCAGCGCATCTAGTTGGTTGACAAGTGCGGCAATCTGCAAGTCTTTCTCTTCCACAGTTCGTGTGAGCTTTGCGATTGCTTCATTCATCTGAGATAGCTGCTCCTCGATTGAAGTTGCTCCCGTGGTCATGACTTGCATGGTTGTACTGCTGCTCGAATCAGCGTCGGAGAGTAGGGACTCTGAGTATTTCCTCGGGCTTTCCCCCCTTGATGCCCTTAGCGAGGCCAGGGTGATCACAGGCTCGTACCTCAGGTGCTCTTGTTCCTTTGACAGAGTTAATGCAGGGGCGGAAGCCGCGGCAAAAAAATCTCTTGCCTTACTTCGGGTTATGATGCCCGAAATATCACCACTTGCGGCGATGATGTTTTTGTTCTTTGCTTTGATTGCAGGAACAGCTTGATCCTTTCTTGATGCCATTTGCGTTTTTTGATGATTTGAGGATAGAGATGAGAGGTAGAGATTGTCCCACCGGGCGTGCCAAATTTGTAAACACGAGAAATTCCTGAAACAAGCGACAAGAATACGTGTACAAAATATATATTTTTTATTAAAGATTTTGGGGTTACAATCTATTTGTAATTTGGTCCTCTGATTCTATCTTCGTAGGGTGTAGGTTTGTGGATGAGTTGCTGATCCAAAGGGCCGTCGGGGGCTTGATCTGAGGATGAACAGTTGATGAATGAATCTTCAAGGGGCGTTGGGCTTGATCTTGAAGAATGGTGGGAGTTTTTCAAGGGCCGTTAGGGCTTGATCTTGAAGGTGAACGGATGAGCGGATCTTCAAGGGCTTTTGGGCTTAATCTTGAAGAACGATTGGATGTGTGGATTTGTTGAGGTTGTTGATCCAAAGGGCCGTCGGGGCTTGATCTAAGGATGAACGGATGATGAATGAATCTTCAAGGGCCGTTGGGGCTTGATCTTGAGTTGGTGGAAGTTCTTCAAGGGCCGTTGGGGCTTGATCTTGAAGGTTGATGGATGATGAACGATGAACACTTTCTTCAAGGGCCGTCGGGGCTTGATCTTGAGTTGGTGGAAGTTCTTCAAGGGCCGTTGGGGCTTGATCTTGAAGGTTGATGGATGATGAACGATGAACTCTTTCTTCAAGGGCCGTCGGGGCTTGATCTTGAGTTGGTGGAAGTTCTTCAAGGGCCGTTGGGGCTTGATCTTGAAGGTTGATGGATGATGAACGATGAACACTTTCCTCAAGGGCCGTCGGGGCTTGATCTTGAGTTGGTGGAAGTTCTTCAAGGGCCGTTGGGGCTTGATCTTGAAGGTTGATGGATGATGAACGATGAACACTTTCCTCAAGGGCCGTCGGGGCTTGATCTTGAATTGGTGGAAGTTCTTCAAGGGCCGTCGGGGCTTGATCTTGAAGGAGGATTTGACGAAGAACGAAGAGTGCTTTCTTGATCCTTCGGGATTTGCTTGAGAGCTTTAGAGTTTCAAAGCTTCTTCCTTTCTTCCTTTCTTTCTTTCTTCCTTTCTTTCTTTTCTTCCTTATGAATGCCTTTGGCCTCCTATTTATAGAATTCCAAAACTTGATTTTTGGATTTAAATAATCAGATGAAATAAATCATTTCTGCCAGGTATTGACACGTGTCATATTTGATGACTTTTCCAATTTATTTCGATTTTTCGTTGAGGCACACGCTACATGTAAAATTTATGTGATACGTGAGCGCTGAAATTTTAATTATTGGTCAACATTTATTTCACCGAAATTTTGATGTCTACAGTTTTCTGTTGAATTCGTGTGTAGAGTTCTGGTGTTGTATATATGTGGCTCGGGTGTCTCCCACACCACTACGTTCTCCTTGTTGTCTGCCATTTTCGGTGGTGTTGCTTGGGAATTTCTCGGAGCTTCTTTCTGATGGTTGGCTTCTCTCTCGTCGACTGTCTCTTGTTGTTGGCTGTGTGCAGGTGGCGCCTGTGGAGGGGATGATATGCGGTGGATGGAGGATCGGGTGGCTGGCTAATTCTCTAATCGACGATGACAACCACAGTGGATGGTTCTCAGTTGTTCATTTTTGTTTGGGCTTCATTGTTGTTGGGCTCTTTTTCTTTGTTTTCTTTGTTTTTTTTGGCCCGTTCTTTGTTTGTTTCTAGGAATAAATTGGGTCTTTATTTGGCTTTTAAGTGTGTTTGTTTTAATAAAAGTTCGTCGTTGGTGATCCTTATGGGACCCCACTTCCAAAAAATAAATAAATAAAATAAAAAATAAAATAACAAAACATCGCCGATATTAATTTTGATGATATAAAAAATAAATATAAAATTAACATCATGAACTTGATTAAAAGTTCGTTTGGTTGCTTTTAAATAATTTAAAGCACATACCAAGTTCTAGTTCTAATTAAGTTGTAAGTTCTAACAAATATTTTCGATTAAAAGCCCTATGTAGATGAGGGTTTTGACAAAAACATACAAAACGGCTCTAGCAATACAGTAAAATAATTTAAACATGTAAATTTTCTGCCCGAAACCCTAATCAAACCCTAATCCACGGCTATATAGCTAATCACCTTCTAATTATAATAAATTAGTGATTCCCTTGACTTGTCATATGTTTGTCTTTTCTCTTTTGTTTAATTCAAAGGACTTGTCAAGTGTTTGTCTTTTCTCTTTTGTTTAATTCAAAGGACTTGTCAGATATGAAGTAGTATTAATCGAGTTTACGTTTCAAAATTGGCCAAGTACAACTTGTCGTATGTTTGTCTTTTCTCTTTTCTATAATTCAAAGGACTTGTCATATCTGAAATAGTATTGATCCAGTTTACGTTTCATAATTGGTTTAAGTATAGAAATCTTTGTCTGTTTTCTGCTTTCGGTTTAGGCCACACACTATACATCGAATCTGACCACGACTTCCTGGCTGCAATCTTGAGTCCCAAGTATCAAAGATTAGTCTAACGATTTCCATCCACCTAGTCGGCC